AATTTTTTTTTCAACGTTTTTTATTTATTTTTGGGACAGAGAGAGACAGAGCATGAACGGGGGAGGGGCAGAGAGAGAGGGAGACACAGAATCGGAAACAGGCTCCAGGCTCTGAGCCATCAGCCCAGAGCCTGACGCGGGGCTCGAACTCACGGACCGCGAGATCGTGACCTGGCTGAAGTCGGACGCTTAACCGACTGCGCCACCCAGGCGCCCCTACTTATTTTCTGATTGTATAAACATCCTTAAATGTTTAATATAATTCACCAGTAAAACCATCTGGGCCTGATGCTTTCTCTTTAGAAAAGTTATTAATTATCTATTCAATTTCTTTACAGATAGAGGGCTATTCAGATTACCTATTTCTCTTTGTGTAAGTTTTGGCAGTTTATGTCTTTCAAGGAATTGCTCCGTTTCGTCTAAGTTATCAAATCTGTGGACATAAGAGTTATTCACAGTATTTATTATTCTTTTGGGCTATGGGATCAGTAGTGATGACACCTTTGCTGTTGCACATACTGACAATTTAGATGTTTTATTTTTTTTCTTGTTTAGCCTGGCTGATGATTTTGAATTTTATCGATATTTTCAAAGAAACAACTTTTAATTTCATTGTTTCTGATGATTTCCTGTTTTCAATTTTATTGATTTATGCTTTAATATGTATATTAATATATATTTATTACATATTTAATATATATTATATATTATATATTTTATATATATATATTTGTTTCCTGCTTACTTTAGGCTTATGTTGCTCTCCTTACTCTAGTGCCCTGAGATGAAAGCTTAGATTACTAATTTTTAGATTTTCTTCTTTTTAGTATATGCATTCAATGCTATAAATTTCCCTCAAGCATTCTTTTTGCTGCATTTCACAAGTTTTGATAAGTTTTAGTTTTATTTTAATTTAGTTCAAATATTTAAAAAATTTAAAATTTTATTTGGAACTTCTTCTTTGACCTATTTTTTATTTATATATGTTTTTTAAATTTCCAAATATTTTGGGATTATCCAACTATCCTTCTGTTATTAAATTCTAGTTTAATTCCACTGTGGTCTGAGAGCACATTTTTTATTATTTCTATTCTTTTAAGTTTGTTTAGGTGTGCTTTGCGCCCCAGAATGTGTTCTATCTTGGTGAGCATTCCAAGTGAACTTGAGAATAGTGTGTATTCTGTTTAAAAAGTGTTAAAAGTTTCCAATTATAATAGTGGATGTGTCTAATTCTCCTTGCAATTTTATTAGTTTTTGCCTTACAGATTTGTAGTCTTGATTTTTTGCTGCATAAATGATTAGGCTTGCTGTGTCTTCTTGGAGAATTGATTTCTTTATTATTGTGCAATGCTTCACTTTATTGCTGATAATTTTCCTTGTTCTACAGTCTACTTTGTCTGAAATTAAATATAGCTACTCTGTCTTCTTTTGATAGTGTTAACATATCTTTTTAATTCTATCTTTTTAATCTATCCGTGTCTTTACATTTAAATTGGGCTTGTAGACAATATTTAAAAAAATTTTTTAATGTTTATTTATTTTAGAGAGAGAGCATGAGCAGGGGAGGGGCTGAAAGAGAAGAATAGAGATTGAGAATCTACACTGATAATGCAAGGCCCAACATGGGGCTCAAACTCATGAACCATGAGGTCATGACCTGAGCAGAAATCAAGAGCTGGATGCTTAACCAACTGGGCCACCCAGGCATCCCAATAGACAGTATTTTTTTTTAAATGTGAACTTTATTATATTATTATTTTTAATTTTTTTTTAACGTTTATTTATTTTTGAGACAGAGAGAGACAGAGCATGAATGGGGGAGGGTCAGAGAGAGAGAGAGGGAGACACAGAATCGGAAGCAGGCTCCAGGCCCTGAGCCATCAGCCCAGAGCCCGACGCGGGGCTCGAACCCACAAACCGCAAGATCGTGACCTGAGCTGAAGTCGGCCACTTAACCGACTGAGCCACCCAGGTGCCCCGAACTTTATTATTATTTAGGCATGGCAAGGCCAACAGATCAGGACACTATTGCCATTGAAATGATAGCTTGTTATATTCACAAATCTCAAGAGGAAGAAACATTCTACACTGTGAGCTACACAGAGAAGTACCAGAATTGGTCAGGAGGCAGAAAGAATGAAGGGGAAATGTGGCCGAGTCTTTGTTGTGGTTTCTGTTAGTAGAATGAGAGAGTAGTTAATCATATGGCTACTTAAAAGTAGAGACCTTTCTGCGCTGTGGTCATGGAGAGATGTAATGACAGAAGATCAGAGAGATGCAGTGATGTTGTCTTTCAAGATGGAGGAAGGGTTTTGGGTGGTTTGTAGAAGCTGAAAAAGATAAGTCTCTCTAGAACCTCCAGAAAGAAACATAACCCTCTTAACTTTTTGGTTGTATCCCAGTGAGACCTGGGTCAGACCTCTAACTGACTGAACTCTTAAAATAATAAATTTGTGTGATTTTAACCTACTAAGTTTTGGGTAGTTTGTTGTAGCATCAATAAAAAATTAACACAATCGTATGGTATTTCTATAAAACAGTAATCCAGTCAGACCTTCATCTGAAGACTAATAATCTTGTTTAAATTTGAAGAACAAGGTATAGAGATATAAATTACCTATGAGGTTATCATTGCTTATCTTCTGATAAACAGTGCATTTTTGAATGGTTAAGAATTCCAAAATGAAATAATATGTGTATATTTTTCATGTGCTTGGTAGATAAAAGATATTCAATAAATGTTTATTCAAGTTGTTGAATATTGGAGGAAAACAAACAGTAATGACAAAATGTCATTTTAAAATCCTTTGACTGCATGAATCATCTAATACTACTTAAATTATTTTATCTTTGCATCATGTTTGTATTTTACAGATAGTGAAGCTAGTTCTTTAATGGATATAGAAAATGTAATTTTGACTAAAGTCCATGATGATGAAGTAGACCACTCAGAGACAATATTGAAATCTGACAAGTTTCATCAGGATTTATTTTTTATGGAACGAGTTCTAATGGAAAATATATTTCAACCAAAACTTGCAGCTTATCGTCAGCTTCCTATTTTAAAAGGTATTTTTAAAAATCACATTTAGACAAGCTCAAATAATCAAAAAAATTGAATGACATTATCATTTTTAAATGTAACCTCCAGACTGGATCATCACTTATCAAAAGACATATTTATATACCTGTTAGCGTTAAACATCCAAATAACAGTAGAATTCAAACTACAGAGCGCACAAAAAAGAGGTCACCCCTTAGATTAAAATCTACAAAAGCTTCCATGGCTCTTTTCTCTTCCTTGCCCTTGTACTGAATTGTTTTCTCATATTTAACCCCCTTTCCATTGCCATTGACACTTTCCAGGTTCTGGTGCTTATTACCTATCCCTAATTTTATTACAGGGGCATTCTTCCTGTTCTTATTGCTACATATCCCATCTCATATGTTCACAGAATATTTTGAAAGATTTTAGAGATGAATTCAACCCTTTAATTTTTGAATGAAGAAGATGAAGAGTACAGAAAGTTTCTAAGTTTAGAGTCTATGACAAAGCTAGGCATTCAACCAAGGCCTGATCTCATTCCAATTCTCTTTCCACTTTACTATCCTGGTGTGCTGATGTATCCCATACACAAGTTTGAACATGGCATTTAACTCTTAAAAAACCTTCAGTATCTTCCCATTTTGTAGAATAAATTATAAACCCTAAGATTTCCCTTGTGCTATTTTTCAGTTAAAGCTTACCCCCCATAAACAGGTATTAACCTGACTTTTCTCACCAGAGATTGACTGTTTTGGTATATCATATAAGTGGGTTCATATGGTAAGTACGGTTGACCCTTGAACAAGGCAGGGCTTAGGGGTGATGACCCTGGCACAGTCGAAACTCCAAGTATAACTTTTGATTCCCCCCAAATTAACTACAAATAAACTACCATTGACCGGAAGCCTTACTTATAGCATAAAGTCAATTAACACACATTTTTATATTATATGTATTATGTACTATATTCTTACAATAAAATAAGCTAGAGAAAAGAAAATGTTATTAAAAGAATTCATAAGGAAAAGAAAATGCATTTACAGTTTTGTACATATGTTGGCCTGGGGCAGAGGCAGGGGCTTCAGTCCTGGCCCCAGAATGACAAAATGTGGTTTTCACTAAATAAAGTTGAAATGTTAGAACTGCTTTGGTACACTATAGAGAAAGGTATCCAAAGGCTTTGGGACATTGGAATGTTAGGGTGGATTTATCATGATGACCTGCTTATCCACTATAGAAGTATCTGGATAATACACCTTTTAGCACAATTGTGAAAAATAAATTGGCTGGGTGCCCCAATATCCTTGAAGAATTCTTTGCTCACTTTTCTCTGTAGGTCAGAAATTGTAGTGGGAACTACTGCTAGTCAACTGAGACCCTTAAACAATTAGATTCTGAGTGGCAGGGGATAAGTGGCAGCAGTTAATCACCAATGAAAAGGTGGGCATGGTTACTGTAGGGTAAAGAGCAGTAATCAGAACAGTCTGACTCACAGAGATCCGTGGCATTGGCTAGCTGATCATCATGTCCTTAGAAGAGAAATAGGTAGGTGCTGTATTGGTTTGCTAGCACTGCCATAACAAAATACCACAAACTGGGTGGCTTGAACAACAGAAATTTACTTCCCCATAGTTCTGGAGACTGGAAGTCTGAGCTGAAGGTGTCAGTACAGTTGGGGTTTCCTCTGAGGCCTCTCTTTTAGGCTTGCAGATGACTACCTTCTCGTGGTCTCGTCACTAGGTTTTTTTATCTGTGCTTGTGCCTTCCCTGTGTCTCTCGGTGTATCTAAATGTCCTCTTATTATAAGGATAGCAGTCATATTTGATTAGGACCCAGAATAGTGGCCTTGTTTTAACTTAATCACCTCTTTAAAGCCTTTGTCTACAAACCCGTTACATTCTAAGGTACTGGGGATTAGGCCTTCCAATATATGAATTTGGGGGAGATAAATCAGTCCATAAAATGTAGTCTCCTCCTAAATTCTTACTTAATCTGTATAAACAGAAGAGTCTTTTCTTTACAAAAGAAAAGTCATAGCCCTTTAAGCAATTTCTAGGCTTGAGTCAATTTGCAGACCCAGAACTCCTTGGATAAAGGGGAGGCTGTGTCTCTTTGAGAAAATATTTCACTACACTACCAAAAATATATACTGTTAAAATTTCTCTCAGCCTTCCCCAGAGGGGACCTACAGCCTTTTCCAAGAGTGACTGTGTAGTGGGGAACAAGAAATAATCATAAATTTCAGGGATTACTGGACACTAGCTCTGGACAGATACTAACTTCATGAGTCCCAAAACATCACTATGGTTTGTTAGCCGGAAAGGACTTATAGGAGTCAGGTGACCAATGGAATTTTAGCTCAGGTCCATCTCACAGTGGGTCCAGTGGGTAACTTAACTCATCTTGTAGTTATTTCCGCTGTTCCAGAATGTATACTTTGGAATAGAAATATTTAGCAACTGGCAGAAGCCCTACACTTGATCCTTGACCTATGTAATGGAGGCTATTCTGGTAGGAAATGGATAAGTAGAAGCCACTAGAGCTTCCGCTACCTATGAAAATAGTAAACCAAAGCAATACTTTGTTTCTGGAGGGATTGTAGAGATTAATGCTACCATCGAGGGCTTGAAAGATGCAGAAGTATTAACTCCCATCACCTCCCCCATTCAGCTCATCTGTTTGGCTTGCATAGAAAACGCAGGATCTTGGGGAATAATGGTTAATTATTGTAAACTTAACCAGGTGGTGACTCCAATTGCAGTTGCTGTTCCAGATGTTTCCTTGGCAGCGCAAATTAACACACCACCTGGTACCTGGTATGTGACTATTGACACAGAAAATGCTTTCTTTTTTCTTCAGTACCTGTTGCTAAAACCCACTGGAAGCCATTTGCTTTCAGCTGGCCAGGCCAGCAATACACCCTCACCGTCCTGTAGGGGTATATCAGCTCTTTAGTTTTATGTCCTAATTTAGTCTTCAGGGAATTTTTCCTTCAACAAGATATCACACTGGTCCATTACATTGATGACATTATGCTGATTAGACCTGGTGAATAAGAAGTAGACTTATTAGTAAGACATTTGCATCCCAGAGGGTGAGAAATAAATCTGATAAAAAATTTTTTTTAATTTTTTAAAGTTTATTTATTTTTGAGAGAGAGAGAGCATGAGCAGGAGAGGGGCAAAGAGGGAGTGAGATACAGAATCTGAAGCAGGCTCCAGACTGAGCTGTCAACACAGAGCCTGATGCGGGGCTCAAACTCATGGACTGCGAGATCATGGCCTGAGCCAAAGTCAGACGCTTGACCGACTGAGCCTCCCAGCCACCTTGATAAAATTTCAGGGGCTTTCCACCTCAGTGAAATTTCCAAAGGTTAAGGATAAGTTGTTTCTTCTGGCCACTCTTATAACCAAAAAAGGTACCATGCCTAGTAGACCTCTTTGTTCTTTGGCGACAACATATTCCTCATTTGGATGTGCTACTTTGGCTTATTCACTAAGTGATCTGAAAAAAATGCTAGCTTTGAGTAAGCCCAGGAGAGCAGAAGATTCTACAAGAGGCCCAGGTAGTCATTCAGAATGCCCTGTCACTTGGGCCATATCATCCAGCAGATCCAGTGGTGCTTTAAGTGTCTCAGAGGGAGAGATGCTGTTTGGGCCCTTTGGAAGGCTCTTGTAGGAATGGAGGACAATAATCTCTTCATTTGATTTAATTTTAGAACCAGAACCTGAAAAACCTGAAGACTTTCAAGAAGGTGAAAAACTTGAAAATACGGAGGAAGAGGGTCAGAAGGAAGAGGAAGAAGAAATAGAAATAAGTACAGGACAATCAACAATACCAGCCAATTTAGAACGACTTTGGTCCTTTTCCTGTGACTTAACCAAAGGCCTTAATGTGAGCAGCCTTGCCTGGAATAGAACAAATCCTGTAAGTTACTGAACATTTTAACAATTCTGTCTTTAGAGTATAAGGGTGACTGTCAAGTACTAGTTGTTTGTTTTCTCAGACATTAGGCAAGGGATTTTATTTGACATAAAGTGGAGTTTTTAACATACCTCTACAACAAGTTCATGTTTCAAAAAGTAGAAAATGATAATAGTTACAAAATAATTTTTTCTCCTTTAATATGAAATGTCATCATTTTAATTTTAGGAGATGTACTTGGGACACAGTATTCTCTGAATCCATATCAGATATTGAAAAGTGAACCAGAAGATAACATCTAATTGATTTATTTTCAGATATATCAAGCTCATGTACCCAAATTAATATTCTTAAAGTAATCATATTCAGAAATATATACTTAATCTAGTGACCCTGAAAATATAAAAGATAATTTTGAGATTTCTTAAAATATTATTACTACCAGTAATAGCAAATATTTTTTTTAATTATTTTTTTATTTTTTTATTTATTATTATTTTTTTTATGAAGTTTATTGTCAAATTGGTTTCCATACAACAACCAATGCTCATCCCAAAAGGTGCCCTCCTCAATACCCATCCCCCCCCCCCCCCCCCCCCCCCCCCCCCCCCCC